CCACCCTACTCAGTCCTGAAACTGGGACCTCCTTCATAACGGCCTCATCATACTCATAGACATGGTCCTGACAGGAAACATCCCATACACACGACCAGAGCAGTCCCCTTCTGAAGTGGCACCAAACTGTAACTTCAAGGCCCCCAAGACTGGGACTATGACATGGCCTCGTGAGCTCAAGAACACGACAGTTCACGGGAAATCAGTATAATAGACATAGCTTGTCTGTGGGACACAGGGAATCCTCCATGTCCCTGTAGCAAGACACATTCTGTTCTCATGAAACAGGAGCTCAGTGTAAGGGCCAAACTCCCTTTAGACATCATCTTCCTTCAACACCCCATGATGTCAACATCACAGGAAATTGTTTGGCAAAGAAATCAGGCAAAGGGAATTGCTGGTTAAACAGGACTAAAATGCCCAATCAGTGAGAAGATGATGGTTAATGTTACATTTCTCCCTTTGGGATCTACTCCCGGTTAGCCCTTCAAGCCTCTGTCACAACCAGTGCAGGCAATGACCAACCCAACTATGCTCATAAGGGTTACTGTTGTGGGTGTGGTCATAAGACACAGAAAGTGCTTCCAGCCAGTGGATGGTTCCTGTCACGTGGCCAATGCCGACCTTCAAATGGCGAAATGTGAGAAACTTCGCAAAGGAGACTCAGAAATGTGAGTGCTGCCCCAGCTGCTGGTCCTGAGACTTGTGGACCAAGCACTCGTGGACGGGAAGCTGCCTTAAGCGGGTTCTGGAAGGACCTGCTGCCTGGAGCCAGCCTGGTAGGGTGGTCTGTTCCTCCCACTGCACCCTTGCCTGTGGTGATGGATACACCATAAGGTTACAAAGGGGGTCAGCAAAGCTAGCCCCCGCAAAACTGGAAGATTCTGTCTCCTACTTAGGACAAGCAGCTACATCATTAACCCCAGAAGTGTCAGAACTTTGCAAAATGACTCCACAAAACGGACTAGCCTCAGACTACTGACCGGAAGCCAGGGAGGTGTTCGTGCACGAGTCAGTCCTCAGTGCCACCTGTTTGTAGTCGACACTCGAGAGGAAATTTGTCAAGAGACAGTCACAGCAAAGACTCACACCCAAGACACAACTTGTTGGAGGCTGAAAGAGTGAGGGTCATGATCAACTCAGTATACCACTGGAGACTATGTGAGTAAGCAGCAAACTGTTCCTCATAAATGCAGAATGCTGGCAAACTGACAAACTGTACGCACCCAGAAGGACCACTGAGGACAGTCATGACCCAGGCACAAGTGTTTCTTATGATTAGGCATCATTGAAGCCTGTTAGTAATAATATAAACCTGTGATCAATTAAGCAGCTGACCAATCGTTATCTCATTCTCCCTGCTCATTCTACCCAATAAATAGGAAGGGCTGTGGAAGGTCAGGGGGCTGCCTTCGCTCACTAGAAGTAGGGAGCTCTCTTCTTCTTCCCCTGGTCCTTTCCTTAAAACAGTTCCTTTTGTTTTTTATTATTTCTACGTTTGTCCCTTCGTTCAGTCATAATGACGGTCTCAGGCAGTAACAGTAGTAACTGCTGTAGTGACTGTCTCAAGTAGTAGCAGTGGCAGTCGGGTACAATAGCTAACACAGCTTACACCCTCCAGAAAAGGATTGACTTGGATCTCCCTTTAAATAATTTCCTCCACTTACTGGATGGTTTAGGGAGCTCCTTAAGGGACTCAGTTTCTTTCTTTTTTTTTTTTTTTCCAAGAGATGGGGTCTCACTATGTTGCCCAGGATTGTCTCAAACTCCTGGGCTCCAGTGATCCTTCTGCCTCAGTCTCCCAAAGTGCCGGGATTACAGGCTTGAGCCACTGTGCCTGGCCTCTGGCTTCTTTGTATCCGTCCTGATGGTCATGCCTTCACCTCCTGATGCATACCACCCTCGTGGGAGGGTTGTGCTCCTCGGCTGTCTCTCAGCTCCCCCTAAACACATGGCAGCTGGAAGCAATGGCTGGACCCTTCTCCTCAAGTCCTCCTTATGACAGGTAGTGGTGGTTCTACAAGGAATGGATCCGCTCTTCCTCATGAACAAGAAGAGGGACTGAGTTTCGCAGAACTCTGGCCTATGACAACTCTGTCCCAATTCCTGCGCTGAGATACAACCAAACTCTAGCCCGTGCCCAGCAGCATCAAGCCACGGCCACAGGATGACCCCGACCCCACCACTAAACACCCAACTGTGAAAACCCAGGGCTGCCAGAAACATTTACTGTTCATCCCAACCAACACCTGAGAGAGGCGCCTGGCCTCTCTTACAGCATTGACAAATCTGCATCTCTCGCAATGCAGACACATTTCCTGCACCTGAGATCCTTCCCTTGAACTGCAAGCATCAGGCAGGACAGGGCCTGTCTCCCAGTCTCTGGCGGAGGACAGAATCCTAACTTCCAGAACTGCCGGCTTGCAGACCAGTTACCTGGCCACCTTCACTGGCCAACTCTTTGTACTTTTCCACTTCTCTGATTCTCCTGAGGCCCCACTTGCTCCCATCTCTCATTGCCCCTTTAAAATGCCCAAATCGCTTCCACACAAATCAGAGTGGAACTCGGCTCTTTCCCCAACTATCAGTAGTTACTAAATAAAATCTGTTTTCACTGCTTTCACTAATGTCCAGCTGTATCTATCTCTGACATCAGTCTTGCAATGAGGGCCAGGACCAATGGCCCCTTCTTCTCCAGTTGTGTCTGGCACGAATGTGCCTCCTCCCCACAGAGGGGGCCTGGGGTGGGCTCTTCTCTTCCCCTGCTCCCTTGGGTCTCAGGCTCCCTGTGAAGGGCAGGGAGTCTCCAAGTAAAACCACTCCAGGGCCCAGACAACTTTTGCCAGCTCACTTCTAAATGAACGACAAAAGATCTTTTAAACCCTTTTTCTCCCGAGGCTCATTCACAACTCAGGGTGTTTTCCACGCCAGTGTAAGTGGAATGAGTGAGTGAATCCCTCCCTGACAAGGGACATCAGAGAGAACACCAGGCAAGAGAAGTGACTCAGGCCACACGGCTCAGTCAGTGCCAGAACCAGGGCTTCAATCTGAGCCTCAACCTCCAAATCGGTGACTTCCAACCCATGCACTCACCACCAGCTCAATTCCCCAGTGACCTCGTCAGGGGAGCCCCGGGTTCTCTCTCCAGCATCCAGCTGCTGCAGAACACAGCTCGACAAGCCACTCCCTCGCCAACTCTCCTCTTGACCAGGGTCACACCCTGCCTTTCCCTCCTGAGCATCTAAGCCTCTGAAAGCCGTCATAACTATTGTTTATGTGTTTTTATAGTGACAAGGACTCCAAGGTACACGATCAGGTTTTTTTGTGTGTGGTAGGAAGGACTCTGCACTCAGATGGATATTTGGGTCCATCTAGTGGAACTTCCAACACACCAAGACAAAGGATGGGCAAATGCTGCCGGAGTGCACGGTTTCTCATTGAAAAAATAATCATGTCTGTCAAATGAGTGAGGATCATTGATGGCCTGGGTCACACACATGAAATGTGGCTTTAGGAATGGCGTTTTTGTCAAGAAGGACCCACAAACCAACGACGTTCCCTGAGGTTGTTGTACGTTCTGCAGGAAAAACATCACTAACAAAATTCAGAAATACTGTGTCTTATTATTTCAAAACAGCTCTTAGATACGTGAAAAGTGGTGTGGAAAGATCTGTGTATTTAGGTGGCCCCCGTGCGGAAGCTTAAAGTAAGGTCTTTTAAAGAAATGGTCGTTGAGATTTCAAGGAAAACTGCAAGGGGCCAATTTTGGCGAATTCACAGTCACACTTCCTCCATCTTCCTCCTTCCCAGCCTGGGGATCTGTTGGGTAAATCAGCGGGTTTCCAGTTTCATGAGCCTCCAAGCCCTTGCCTCTCAGGACTGAGAGGGGAGGTGGTAGAGGTGACTCTGGCTCACACAAGGCTGGCACCCCCACATGAAGAGCTCAGCATTCTCTGGAAACTCACTGAAATTCCTTCCATTTAGACTAGAACATGGTAAAATGGAAAGATACCCATGCCAGGGCCTTTAATCACTAAAATACTAAAACATCCCAATAAAAGGATAATGGGAAGAGCTGCCATTCAGAGAACTGCTACGCTGTGACAAGCACTGTGGGGATGGCTGCAAATATTCCTGAAGCTAACCCTCACCACAGTGTGCGGCCCAGATAGTTTCAGCCCTGTTTTCCACAGTGGGAGACAGACTCAACCTCAGAGCAAAGCAGCAGGCGCAGGTCCCAAGCTGGGAAGACCAAAAGCCAGGATGTAAACCAACGTTTAGTTTGAGTCAAGTGTGTTGTCTTTTTCCCACCCCCAAAACATAATGCAGATGGATGCACACAGTGATCATCTATCTATGCACACAGTGATCACAACTATCCTCAATGCTTCCCACTGAGCACCTCGGTGCCTGGCACTGCCAGCAGCATCCCAGGGCAGCAGCCAATGAGGCTCTAATGCACTCCGTTCCTGTAGCAACACCTGACTTGGATGTGCTGTAGCCCACAAGGGCCTTTTGGTAGCAAGAGGTCAAGGGGTGGGGGAAACAGCTTTTAAATTTCCCTTCAACATGCTGCAGCTGCAACTGCTACATTTAAAAAAATACCAAAACAAAACTTCAGAGCCTAAAACTGAGCTGTGTGTATGATGCTCTTATCTTCACATCCCCAGGCGAACTGTTCTGCAAACAATGGCATGGTGATTGGATTGTTTTTCTTTTCCAAAATCAGGGCTCAAGAGGAGAAAGAAAAGGTAGCATATGAACAGCTGAATCAGAGAGAAGGCGGTCTAGGAAAAAGAAATCACCTGTCAGGGAGTAAGAGCCAGGGCAGGAGAGGGGACGGGAGGGGACGGGAGGGGACGGGAGGGGACGGGAGGGGACGGGAGGGGACGGGAGGGGAGGCAGAAAGAGGGCTAAGGGGCATTTGTCAGGATAGAAAGTACTGTTTTTAGGGAGCTATGGCACAGTTTGATTTTTTTCACCCATAATATTGTACTCACTTTATATGTCGAGATATACGATGATATGTTTGCCACTTGGAAGGCACATTTATATCACAATGCACCACCGGTTTGATCTGAAAAAAGAAAAAATAAGCCTGAGAATTCAGTTCAAATTAGCCAACACTCATTAAATTCAACAGTGTGCACAGCACTGCCCCAAAACATAAGAAAAGGGGGGAATCCCTTTGTCAATAGAACACCCAAGGGCGGGTCCAGGAGGGATGCAGAGAAAGGCAGACCGGGTGCTGGGGGAGGAGAAGATCCCAGCAAGTGCAGTGCGAGGTGATCTGGGGCTGACGGCTCTGCAGTGCACATGGAGGGAAGTGCAGGGTGCGGAGGACGGGCAAAAGTGCCACCAAAGGCCGTGCATCCGTGCGAGGGAGGCTCCCCATGGTCCCCAAGAAGCATGCGTCGATGGCCTACTATGCCAAGGAGCTCTGCTGGTCAGGTTATGGGGCCCCAAGAATGGACATGTCACTTCTGATTTCATTACAAGACTCCAACCAGAATGTCCTGGCCAGGAGGTGCGAGCCCCTCCGCCTTCTCTCCTGTTTGCTGTGAATGCAGCCTGAGAGGCCGGGCCAACCACTATGGCCTGGGGACAGCTTCAGTCTCAGGTCCACTGCGGTAAGACACAAAGGAGGAAAGGAACTACTGAGACCTGTCCCAGATAAGCAAAGCCAGTCATCCTCACAGCCCTGCTGTTTAAGAATGTGCAGAAAAGCAAACGAGGGGAGCTCTGATTGGGAAGGGATGTTAACCCCCAACCCCGTGCCAAGTGACAGGATCCTGGTCCCTCCCACAAGGCTAAGGCTCACCTGAGGACACCCCAGCACCTCAGGCCTGGCCTTCCTCTGAAGAGCTGCTCCCCTGTCCGTGTTCCGTCTCTACATCCCCAGCCCACCAGGATGAGAAGCGTGGGGTCCCTTCACACCTCCCACCCCTGGTTTCCCCCGGATTGAGACCCGTCTGCCTCTGCCCACACCTCCACTGCAGTCCCACCGCCTGGCTCACAAACCCCACCCCCGACGTCTCTCACTTGGAGGATGGCAACATCCACGCAAGGGATCCTGGCCAGGGTCCCACTCTGTCACCTCCCACGGACACCATCGTCTTCACGACAATACCGCTGGGTGCAGTCTCCCTCCGCGATCCACCGGGCAGCCTCATCACTCTGCTCATCTCCCTCCGCCATCCACCGGGCAGCCTCATCACTCTGCTCATCTCCCTCCGCCATCCACCGGGCAGCCTCATCACTCGGCTCATCTCCCTCCGCCATCCACCGGGCAGCCTCATCACTCGGCTCATCTCCCTCCGCGATCCACCGGGCAGCCTCATCACTCTGCTCATCTCCCTCCGCCATCCACCGGGCAGCCTCATCACTCGGCTCATCTCCCTCCGCCATCCACCGGGCAGCCTCATCACTCGGCTCATCTCCCTCCAGGATCCATCCGCAGCCTCATCACTCTCAGCTCGTCTCCCTGCAGGATCCATCCGCAGCCTCATCACTCTCAGCTTGTCTCCCTCCAGGATCCATCCGTAGCCTCATCACTCTCATCCGCAGCCTCATCACTCTCATCCGCAGCCTCATCACTCTCCGCTCGTCTCCCTCCGGGATCCACCCGCAGCCTCCTCACTCTGTGCTCGTCTCCCTCCCGGATCCACCTGACAGCCTCCTCACTCTGCTCGTCTCCCTCTGGGATCCACCTGACCAGCTTGTCACTCTCTGTACCCTACACCCTCCATGTTATGCTCCTTCAGCCACCCTGGCCCCCAGCCAGTCCATGTGCTTCCCGCAGCCTCTGCTGCACAGTGAGGGCCTCTGCTCCAGCCCCCACAGCCTCTCCATCTCCAGGACCCGTGTTCACTGCCCTTCCAAGCCCCAGGGCTGGGGAGCCACCTCTAAGCTGACATCAGAATCGATCATCCCCCCAGCACTAAACCGGATTCATTCAGCATCCTTCCTACTACCTACTTCACACCCACCCAGGAAACTCCCAGCACAGACACCATGGTGCGGGCCCTACCTGCACCCCATCCCCCAGAAGTTCGGGTGGCCTGAACCTGTCAACAGGGCCTCCTTCCACACCTAACGCTGCTAATCCACACCCTCCTGTCCAAGCCGCAGCCCCCTCTCCCTTCCCAACCCAGACCCAACTTAGCACAGAAGAGGTTCCAGAGTCCCCCCTGGCATCTGAGTCCCCTCCCTATGAGGAGTTCAGGTTGGGCAAACGTGTCCCTCCCTCACTTCCCATCTCTGCTTGGGGACCCAGCTCTTGACCCTCACCTCTGCCGGGGGCCTGCTGCCTGCCCACTTGCCCACTCCAATGCCAGGCCGACAACTGGGGGGCTCTGCTCCCTGAGTCAGACACAGTGGTAATAACTCTTCCTGCCTGGCCCAGCAGGGAGGGTCCTCCTGGGGACCCTGCTACTCTGTCTCCTCAAGGCCCAGACCTGGACTGGGTTTCACAACTCAAGCACAAGACCATGAGACAAACCACTTAACCTATTAATGTTACGGGCGCTCGACTACATCACCCCAAGTTGAGTAAATGTCATCTATAAAAGTGCCTTGGCCAAGAACAGCACCCAAGCCATGCACCCCAGATGCACAATGAGAGAGAGAATGAGCTGCACACCTCATTAACAGTGAGAACTTTGTTTTAAAGAGGAGAAGGGACAAAAGTTACTCTGGGTCTTCTGTCCCTGAAGGAGACCAGGGAGGTGTGTCTCATGGGGGCTTTGGGAGAAGGGTGAGAGGAACCAAGACAGCCGCAGCTGCTGCAGAGAGGCCACTCTGGCACCTCCCTGGGATCCTACGGTGCCTTTCATCAGAACAGAGAGCTGCCGGAGAGGCAGTGAGAACACAGTGAATCTCAGAAGCCGCCTGGCAGACGGGAAGACCCCAGGCTTTGGAACTAGTCAAATCTGAATTCAAATCCCGGCTCTACATCTTACTATCCATGTGGTCTGGAGAAGCAACTGCACTTCTCTGAGCAGCAGCCGATGAGTTTTTAGAATGGGGATCATCCTGCGTTAGAGTTCTTATGAGAATAATAATGAGGTAACATTTTATAAAAGGCACAATACCTATAACACAGTAATAAATATTCAATCCAATAAATATGAGATTCACACACACACACAAACACACCGAAACACACAGAGAGAGACACAGAAGGGAGGAAGGGGGCTGTTCAGGCACCTCTATCTTGTTACAGCTCAAATAGAATTGCTGATTTTATCCGTAGCCAGTGGATCAACCCAGGCTTCCCCACCTCAGAAAATGGTGCCACCCTGGCCCCATTTGTTCAACTACAAAATCTGGGAGACGTTCTCGAGTCTTCTCACCCTTTATGCCATCCGTGCATCCGTCAGCTCTACTTCAAAGCCACACGGCAGACTCTTGGCTCCTCGCCGCCTCCACCATCTCTCCCCTGCCCCGAGACAATCCTTCCCTCATGATAAGCAAAGCAGCCTTTGTAAACACAAATCAGAAGGCGGTCAGACGCCCCTCAGTGAGGCTCGCCCTTATCCTACCTACCCCTCACACTGACCCTCAGGCCACGCAAGCTGGCACTGCCTGCCTCTCTGCCCTGTCTCTGCACCCCTCCTGGCCTCCCTGCACTCTGGCCATGCTTGCGTTCTTGCAGTTCCTGAAACACCAGCCCACTCCCACACAGGACCTGAGCCTGGAACATCCTCACGGATCTTTGCCTGGTTTGCCCCTCTTACATTAAGAAGTCACTTCGACGTCAGCTCCTCTGAGAGGCCCTCCCTGCCCAGTCACACACCTGCAGTTACTTTCATCCGAGCACTTCATCCTGCCTCTGCTTTCTTGTTTGTTTATGTGTTTCCATTTTCCTTTGTAGAACGGAAGCCTCTGAGAGCAGGAACCCTGGTTGTCATGTTCAACCCAGTACCTCCAGTGCCTGAACGATGAGTGACCCCAACAGGAATTCAATAACTATTTCATGAAGCCAAATGAATAATGGATGAGTGAATGCTACCATGACTAGGGAAAAACAGCTCTGATGCTCTGAAAAGGATTCCAGGAAAAGAGAAGCCATGGAAGAAGGTGGAAATGCCCACCTGCATCATTCTACCCTATTATCATACTATATATAAAATTATATACACCTGCATACTCATGGTAAAGAAACTAATGCTGAGTATCAACAATGAGCATGAATTTACAGACCTAGTTTGAAAACAAAACAACAGAAATTATCTTCTGCAAAATTCTGTTAAAATACAGCCACCCTAAGAACCAGCTTTCTGCTTCATTGCATAAAATTATGGAAACAATGAGCTAATTGCTCTTTTGAGGTGTTAACGATTCATTAACCCTGCTATCACCTGCCTAATTAAATAACTCCGGCAATTAAATAATGTGATTCTGGACTTTTTTTCACTGTACATCATAAAATAATCTCCTGAGCAATGTTGAGCATATGTGTCTGATGGTGATGACAGCCTCATTCACACTTGTCAGAGCCAAAGACTCACACCACTCATCTGTCCTGAGAGGCTGAAGGACGCCATGAGCTTTAGACCTCTTCAACCAAGGCAATTCAACCAAATCTAAAAGATAGAAGACTCAAGATGACCACAGGTGTGTCTCCCCCAAGGAGCAACTACAGGTTATTGAATACCCACCATGAATCAAGCATTGCAGTAGACTCTTTACCTGCATTCATACCTAACCCTCAACATAACCAGGCAAAATACCTCAGTAACAAAGAATCAGAGAGGTTATATCATCTTCCCAAGAACACACAGCTATTAAGTGTCCTGGCCATGATAAGCCATCAAAAAACATTTTATTTTACTTTTTAGCAAAATGAGTACTGGAATCCCTACCCATGTAGCCTAGTACTTAGGAGCCTGTGCTTTGGATCATCCAGGATCCCAGTACAGGCTCTGCCACTTACTAGTGGTGTGGCCTTGATCAAGTTTATAACCTCCCTGAGCCTCAGCTGCCTCCTGCATGCAGTGCTAACAGCAGTAGTGCACACCTCATAAAGTTGTTGAAATGAGATAACGCATCGTCAAGTGCTTAGCAAATGACTGT